AAAATTAATAATTTGTATGTGAATTCACTGAAGATTACTTTAAAAACTCAGATTACCAGCAGAAACTATTTCTTGCCCATGAGCAGTGTTCCTGAGAATTTTAGACTAAAATATGCCTATGGCAAAAACTGGTTTTCAAAGATATTTGAATTTTAAAAATTGTATTTTTGCATTTTTACTATATAGTAGCTTGTCAGGATTTAAAGTTTTATAAACTTTGATTAATACATAAAGTCTGGAGAACATTTTCTTCTCTTCTGGGAAGGTGACAGAATTTATTATTTTTGCTAATAGCTATTTGCAATTTGCTAGGCTATTTAAAAAAAACATTCTATTTAAATCTGTCATTCATCTTACTTCTCAGTATTTGAAGAAGAGGACTAAGCATGCAGGATAAAGAGAGAGAAAAACTATCATTTGTGTTTAATTGCAATTTTATTTCCATTCTTTAATTAGAATTTTTCAGTATATCAAATGACATTCTTTGTCCAATGTTCAGAACAGCTAAAAATAGTGAATAATAAACTGGATGCAAAAATGACCTTCCAGAGGAATGTCCCTGTTGCTCACAGTTCTCTAACTTCCTAAAAGAGTATATCACAAAAATAAAAATAATCTTTCCTCCCTTGTTTCAGATAATTAGACACATTTCTTGACACAAAGTTCATTCTCAAGATTATCCTTAAATTATTGGTCTATATTTTCTTTATGCTAGTGGGAGAAGACTTCACACAAAAATAGCACAAATGCATTTCCTCTTTCTTCTTTAAATACTTTGGACCTAAGCCATGGACATTGCTATACCACTTAAATGTTGAAATAATTAAGTAGTCATCTGCAGTATTATAACAAACAGTGGGGAGCATCATAAAATTAACAGCTACAATTTTGCTCAAAGCTTGTATGGAATTATAAAGCCTTAACAACCCTTCTGAAAAGTCCATTGATATAAATGTGGTTTCTCTTAAAAATCAGTTTAGGATACTTCAGACTTAGTGTAAGAAAAATCTCCAATTTTAGTTCTCTACAATATGGTTTCTATTTTATATAGAATAATTTTATTAAACATTACAACTAGATAAAAAGTAATACGAACTAAAAAAAAGAATAGAAAGAAAAATGGAAAATATAAAAAATATGAAAATTGAAAAGAAATAAAAAGATAAGACTAAAGAAATAGAAAATAAATATATAAAGAAGTAACTTCTATCTTGATCATACCAAATATCAACAATTTTAGCAACATATTACTTTATCTTAAAATACAACAAATGATCTCTCTTTCCCATATTCTCTCTCTTATCTATAAACAAATTCTTAAAACTTCTTATTTAGTCTGGTTTGCAAAAATCCATTAAGAACTATCAGAGATAACAATATATCTAGTTCAACTTTGATTCTAATACACCAAATTTATATTCTTTCCTTTTATTTTTTACAGTCTCATTCTTTAATGCTTTTAAATACCCACTTGAAAATCTGTATGGGTGTAAATAGTTCTCTAACTAAGAATTTAAAGTGTTAGAGAGGGTTGTATTCTAGACCAATGCTTTGTAAACAGTCACGTTAATGAAACGTCAGGATCCCTGTATGCTTCATATGCCAAAGTTCCATGATAAATTTATTAATATTCTTTTATATGCTGATAGAGTTTTAATGAGGTAATTTCAAATTGGTTTGTAAAAACTGTTGTGAAAGCTGAATAGCTATCCTGGGTAAGCTGATTTATCAAAGTTATTTCATATTTTCTACCCAATATTAATTGTCTCCCTGGTAAATGACATTTTTAAACAGAAAAAGTTAGATATCAGATATTTTTATTATAGATATTTTTTTTGTATTTACCAGATATGCATTTTATCATTGTATTTTCTTTTTATCTATTTTATTCTGGGATTATATGTTGTATTTACCCCTATTTTACTTTCTTTGATATGGTCATAAAATTAATAAATTAATAAACTACTGGTAGTTTACTACCTGAACACTTTTCTATGGAACAGAGGCAGGTGCTTTAACAAACAATATTTGTGTTAGGAAAGAAATAGAAATATCAACCTAGAAATAGTCGTTAATAAAGAACAAGAGTTGTCCAATTTAATAAATTTTATAAAAACAAGTTTTACATAATTTTTCTCATTTTTTTTAAATTGCAGATTTGGCAGTTCTATCCAGAACTAGAATCATTGAATGCCAGGGGAGCCAGTACAATTTTTGTATGGATATGCTTACAGACATACATTCTTCCTGTTTTTAGAGCATTTTATGGTACTTGAAGAAATCCTGCAGGGGATAAGTGTCCCAGTTATCAAGGAATTATCATATGAATCACTACAGGTAATAATTTTATTTTTTTCTAAACAGTATTAATGTGCTATATAAGAACAATACTTTGATAAGAAATTATACCAAAACATTGATTTATTGGACCAGCTAGGAAGAACGGCTGTCCATTGTAGTTGAATATCTACATATAGATACTCAACTACATATATAACTAAAAGTCTCTCCCTCCCTCCCTCCCTCCCTCCCTC